AAAGTGTCGTCGGGACGTAGCGTTTGAAATTGGCCTCATCGATCTGTGTCCCGTGACCTCTGTTTGCTCGATTTTCGGCCGCCCATATCCCGTTTCTAGCCATCATGAGGCCAAGGGGTAGAAATTCGTCTCAGCTACAAGACAGCACTTAGTACATTGAGAGTATTGATCGTATACCAAAGAAAGGGCATGTTTACAAGATTCGTCGAGCCGAGTGTGCTGCATCGCGATTGGCAAACAATAGGACGACATCGTCCACGTAATCCAAATTAAATGGTTCATCTCAAGATAAAACCTTCATACTTGATTTCTGGTATCCCACCGCAAGACTCTATAGAGCGGGCTACTATGAATTTGAATATGAATTGGAAAATATAACTACCCCGACGAGCTCCCCGTCGCTGCATGTTACTGAAATAACCGGAAGCGATTGAAAACAGGGCATGAAAACATTCGCGCTCCGTCCCGTACCTGTCCTTTTCGCACATTATCATCATCATCAAAACACGTTAACCGAGGGTGAGAAACACACCTCAACTAATGTGCTGCAATACAAAAAGAACAAAGTATAAAAAATTTAAAAAGTGAGTAACATAAAGTTCAATATTATATCACATATTAGATAGATCGGGATGGGAGGGGGAATCTAAAGGAGAGGGGGGATGAACAAAGAAACGCACAACTCAAACGCCAGCTCCGCCATATCAACAACTGTGTCCAACCAAACGTATTCATCGTCCTTTGGATCCCAGCGCAGTAGTCGGGATGCACAAACCGACAGTAACTTCGAAGTGAGGGCCTTCATTTCTCTTGACCAAGTCAGTGCCTGGCTCCCCCCAATCTTTTTCCATTAACACTCCCGGCGAGCAAATCACACACGACGCGGGAGTGATGCTGTGCGGACTATAGACACGGCCGGTGCGCGCTGATGGTCGATAGCCGTGTTCTGCATGCCTGGCTTGCAAACATAAAGTCACCAGTTGGATTCCGCGTAGGGGCGGGCATACTCGCGGTACACTCAGCCCACGCGCCACTGGTGGTGATCGCGCGGCAGCGAAACGCCGTTACGGCCTACAGCGGACGGCTATTTTGATGGCATTAGGTGACTGCATTTGTTTTCTACTTACTCATACTTTAGGGGAGAACCGAAACTCGTCAGCTGGTGTCTGGCAAAAGACCCAGCGATATCTCACGAAGTATCAGCTGAATTGGTTTTCGCCGGCTACATATGTGCTCTCAGCATTCATCATAATTACACACATAAGCTGCATGTGGAAAACACCTCAGCTATTGCGTCGAAATAAAAAAGCAAATAAAAAACATGAAACAGAGGCATGCCGGTTAGGTACCAGTAATGGATAGACATCGTTCCGGTGGACTAGCAGCCGGTTATTGTGCCGCAAAAGTCATATTATAACTAATAGTTGTGACCGTAGCTGGAGGAGGAGGGACAAAGAAAGTCACAATAAAAACGCCGTTGGGGTCGCCTTCTAGCACCGCAGAAAAGTCACTTAGCGTCCACCAGTCTCATACCAGTTATGGACGCAAATCGATCACACCGCGAGTATTTACCTCGGAGAGGCTGTTTCCAAAACTGTCGCTCGAGTTGGAGCACGAACGTGAATTCTGACTATGCATTGGTTTGCGCCGACCTCCGAGTGCCTTTCGGTGAACCTCCGCAACATCGATGTGAACGGATTGACACCAGCCAACTACGGAAGCCAGGTGTCCTGAATGTGTATCAAAGTACGCTGGCATCCGGGGTGAGTAAGCGCCCACCAAACGCCGTCGAGGATCACTGGTCGCATATTCGCTAAATGTTACTATCAAAAGGAATGTTCATGCGGCAAATCAAATTGCCAAACTGGACATTGCGTCTCCACACAGTCTCTGGAACTTATAGATGCTCACCGACATATTCCGGCTGGAAGCGAATACAATGAGACTCGTAAAAAGCTCAAGGCAAAACTGCGTGCTAGCCTGAAAAAAGACCGCAAAGACTGGTGGTCTCATCGTGCATCGGAAATGGAAACAGCCGCTGTCGTTGGTAATCATCGTAAGTTTTTCCGTCTGATACAGGAAACACATAGCAGGAAACCTGGTGTTAGTGAGACAATACGCGGCGAGAGTGGACAGCCAATCTACAGCTTGTCAAAACGCTTGGAGCGTTGAGCCGAACACTTTGCAAGGCAGTTTAACCAATCTGAATTATCGCTTTCTTTTTCAGGCATTGAGTGCCCTTCTCCATGGGCTGTCCCCTTGGATCCGCCCTCACGCGCAGAAGTCGAGCGTGAGATTCGATTGTTGAAATTGCATAAGGCCGCTGGTTTAGATAGAATTCCCCCAACTTTCTTTAATTTCGGGGGGCCTGCTCTGGTAGATGATTTACACGAGTTTCTAGTGAAACTTTGAGAGCAGGAGACTGTCCCGACAGACTGGAGCCGTTCTGTCATTGTCCAAATTTTTATGGGATGCTCCCGTTCGGAACGCGGCATTCATTCATTCATTATACACGTTAGCCGCAGGTGGGAAACACCTCACCTATTGTGCCGCAATACAAAAGACCGGAAGAAAAATAACAAGACTCCCGTCGACTGAGTCCCCAGTAACGGATATACCTCGTTCCGGAGAGCTAACGGCCGGCTATTGTGCCGCAAAAAGCGACTTATTTTACGCCTAACGAATGAGATGGTGTGATGTTAGTGTGATGCTAGTGAGCAAGCGCGAGATAGTGTAACTAAGGATAATGCCTCAATGATTTTCTTGTGAAATCCCGCAACAATTTTAAGAATGAGGATGATGGTTGACAGCCACCGGTTCGAAGGTATTTTGTATTGTTCCCTATGTTGATGGCAGGACAGTCACACCATCCACAAATGTGACGTCTCAGTAATCCATAAGGATAAAAAGGCCGTCGGTCTCATGCACTATGTAACGGTTTAACAGAGCGAATTCATGTAGAATCTATACTAAAGTAACCAGAGTGACACCGGAGTGACGTCGCTGGTAAGTCTAGGTGATTCCGCAAGTGGTGGTTTCATAGCAGACCGCATGCCCTCCAGATGGCCTCACCAAGCAGTACAGTAGAATGGACCAACCGTCCGTCTTTCGCAATCATTGTCTCAATAACTGGTGACCTCTCGAACCCGTGCTCCGAATGAATTAGAACGGTACTCGGTTATTCCTAATTACACTGGTCGTCTTGGTCCAATGAATCTTCTACACTCACCAAGATCGACTCAGAGGGACACGGGAGCTCAAAAGCCCAATTTGTAGCATAATCAGCTTAAGCACCTCAATCAAACTAAGCTACGCCTCTGAGACCTATCGATAGGTCGACTGTTGCAACTTAGGTGGACAAGGGAAATTTTAGACAATGCCGTGAAAAACTCGGTACAACCATCGCGTACAGAAGGTCGCACTCAAGTAACTTGATACTGTCAAAATGTAGTGAGTACAGGGGAGCAGTAATAGGTCTGCCTATGAGCAAGAGTTGATATGACTCTATTTCGAACAAAACACAAGTGGCCATTCATTGGCGTCACCCTCAGCGCTTTGAATGACAGCAGTACTGACACTGTGCTCACTTGGGGCTACCGAGGTTTTATCGCCAGAGATGCGAAGAAAAGAATCAATATCAGTAAATTGAGCCATGCGGTTGAAGATTCATTGCGATGTTACTAGCAAGTGTGTGTGTTTCTGAGACGCAGCGCACAATGCAAGGTGTATGGACCGATCTGAGATAGAGCGAGGAAGTTAAAAGGGATGGTCTGAGGTGGGGCCCTAGGGCAGAAGGGTAACTTAGCCGCCACACGGTTACCTTTGACTGCAGTCTCCTGTCGGCTGACCTAGAAGGAAATACGAGCAAGAAAAAGGAAACGAAATGGAAGGAGAAAGGACACTTTGCAGCTAGCACTTCCGACCGAATATCCTGAGAGGCGTTGTCCGATTGGTTCCGTTCCCGCCTTTCGCAACAAAAATATAGCCTACATGGTATTGGGAAACGTCTTCCATGCAACAGATGAAATGGTAAATAAACAACACGGTGCAATTCTTCATTTGACTCAAAAATGTGGAAAGGACAGTTGAGTGTCCTCTTCGGATGCGTGGTTCTCAAACGTTCTATGACATACGAAGGTTCAGTGCGGCAGAATGATGGCATCCTCCCCAACACATAGCAGATAAAAAACCATCTAGGCGTGAACCAAAAGAAACCTTGTGAAATACAGAGATGGAGGGATGACATGAGTCTGCAGTAAAAGGACACCCATTTCAGTCGGTAGTCTGCAAACTTACTAGTAGGGGGATGCTCAATTGACATATATTTTTGCTACAATTCTTAGTCGCCTGATTTCATCTCGCCATCGTTTGTTTCTTGACAATTGTTTGAACGCATAATTCCTTTGGTTCGATTGGCTGACCTAAGCCGTTCAGAATGGATGCTCTCTCAGGGACCTATTTCTGCTAATGCCGTTTCCTCAAACTCGCCTGAGTGATTCTTTCTTTTGCCACTTCTCATTCGCTCATATTTTCGTTGCTTCCTATGACTTTGGTTCTCTTCAAAGTGCTTTAGTAGGTTTGTCTCAGAAACTATTGTACCCTATAGTAGGAAGCAGTGTTCTCATGCATACAATCGGTCCTGGCTCATCTTCGTGTTCTTCTTGCGGTCGTGGGGGGCATGAAGAGTCAGAGGTGACACAAAACCTACGGGGTTCCATAGTCCGTGTTTAAAGAACTTTTCCCTCGTAAATCTACTCGAGAGAAGGTAGATGTCAGCTGGATGTGTTGACTGGTGGCATGGTTTGTGGGAGTCAGAGTGACTCAAAATAGGTTGCCAGGAATGCAGTTGTAGATGTGCTGTGTCGTGGCACGAGTAAACGGTTTAAATCAGTCGAAATGACGCAACAGAATGTTTGTTTTAGATTAAAGCACAGCAAAATTCAAGTTGGAGAACCCATTGTGCTTGATTATGATGATAAATTGAACCTGGGTCAACTCACATCTTGGTATTCAGCGACCGGTTGTAGATAAGCGATTGAGAGTCTTATCTTCATTTCTGTAGTGAGCTCAAGGAGACGGAAAGTCCCGAGAAAGTCATTCAAGCCGATATCCCATCTGAGTGAAGTCACTTAAAAATAATAAAAGGGTGCAGTAAACATTACTTGAGGTTAGTTGTTGTTTCAGTTGATCGGTGTAGACGACCAGTCGATGAACAACCAAAGGAATCTGCAAGGGAAGTGGAAGCGATATCGAAAACCATACCAGCTGCATGTTCTTTTGGCGGGTGATGTACAACAACTCGGTATTGTCCAGAATCGATCCTAACAGAAACAAAGCATAGCAGTTTACCGGTTCGGACTCTGATATGGCTAAACGATACAGTGTTTGAATAGTTGTGTCCTAAAAAGCGATGGGAAATGAGGACCGAACAGAAAATAACTAACGTCTTCGTCCAGTGTGAACGATAAAGTCACTCCTAGGCGCATGGCGCAGAGCAAACGCGACGCCGCAACGACTAAACGATCGGCCGGATTGCTAGATCCAACGAGGTAGACATAAGTGATTCTTTCCAGGAATGATTCATTGCTGGACAGAAGTCGGAGCATCTGCCCGAGGTCGCAGCTTGAATCGGTTCGTAGAGGATGACGATCATCGAAGGGATCAGGATCGGTGCTGAAAAATATGTTCACTTGCTCCTCCAACAAATCAGAAAGGCTTGGGAAAATGTGGAAGAAACGTGACAACATACCCTGTTAATATGGGGACAGGATCGAAGGAAGGTGTGTTCCGCTCTACTCTCCATTGCGATAGTAAGTCCTCACATTGATCGATGGCGGAACGTGTGCTGCTCACTTCGCCATTCATTCTTACAGCAGAATGTGAAATTGTGTTAAGCCATTCAAAAGGCCTTGGATGAAAGATAAATAGAAAACTTTACGGTATCAAATAAATTTAGCATGAAACAGTGAAAAAACTACCTCGGTAATAGTGTAATTGGGTACCTATGTAATGCGCAGTGTATACTAGAAATAGACCCTGAAAGTAGACGCAACCCTTGGACAATTAGCTTAATCGAGACACTCGCATAAATAGAAGTGAAAACAAATACTATTTTCTTAGCGGTATTTCTAGTTCGGTGGAGTTAGTCACTTGGACGTAATCAGATAACGATTATCACCATAGTTAATTATCTGAAAACTCAACTCGAGGACGTTCGGTCCCAAGTAGAGGCAAAATCTGCGGTTCGACTATGATTCGAGCACCAAAATACGGTGGATCAAGTTACCATGACAGGCTATCAAAATGATATCAACCACTCAAAAGTAACTGGAGAAAATGTAGAGAAAGTAGCTAAAGTGCAGATAATTGAAAGCGCCGATAAAGAAATAAAGGTATAATCGATAGGTACGGACGGTAAATAGAATAAAGAAAGTGTTAATACTTTGCAGCTACGTGTGTCGGAAAGTGACTGGTTTGCCGAACAATCTCCTAGTAATACCATATGAATGGATTAGGATTACATCAGTCCAGCGAGTAGTCCGGTGTCGATGCTCTAGAAAGTGGTAAGTTTTCACATAACAAGCATTCTCCCTATAAAAACTCCAATGTATGGGTAATAACACTGCGATACGATGGTGACTCGACACTAACCAAAATCACTGCCGTTTGTTTCGTTTCGATAAATCAATACACGGGTTGGCTGCCTGTTACCTACGTGGACATCACGCGCTCGATGAGGACAGCTCAGATAACGAGCATAGACATCTTATCATCATATGTTTCTCTTGAGCAGCAAGTTCAAATACACGAAGAAACGCTCTACAAATTGGCGTCCACCGTCAATATAAACATGGTCCCAGACTAATCACATTGCGATTAGCTTCAGATGGCGGGGCAGCGTACGGGACTATAGATCATTTTGACTCACATCAGGCGCTGGTCAGTGCGATAATCAGTGTATGGGGCTCCTCAAAAACGAAGCATCGCAAGACTAGTGCTAATAGTTAAGCTAATTCCTCGATCTAGGAGAGCTATCAGTTTACAATGGCAGGCACATTTGGTTACAACCCACCACAGGGCAGAGCAACACTGGACTTATGTAAAGAAGGCAATCACCACTTCAGAACAATTATGCTGTGACCTAGGTCAACGGCTTTTAAAGGGATGGATCGCTGCTCCCACTATGGAGCTGTTCGACGGCTGCAGATATCGCGGCAGAAACAGTTTACAATGAGCAGCGCCGCTATGCCAACCGGTAGCTCAAGAAAAACCTGCGCAACAATCGCGAGGCTTGGAGGTCTGAGGGTGCTTTGGAGAAGGAAACCGCTACCCTATATGGCAACAGTGGTAAGAATTTCCAACTCCTTTGATCCACTGGTCTCAGGAAGCCTGGTGTCAGTGAAGTTATTCGCGAGGTGGATGGGTCGCCGATTACTAACTAGCAGGAACGTTTAAACAGCCGGGCCAAGCGCATTCACTTGCAGTCCAACTGCGCTCCAACGTCCATTCGTGTATACAGTATACTCCGTTGCCCACCCTGGCTCGTCCCCATGGATTCACCCAACAAAGCGGAAGTCTGACTCGAGATTCGAATCGGTAAGTTGTGCAAGACCGCCAGTTCAGACGGACTTCCTCTGGAGTTGACCGGGTCCTGAATGGTAGTGTGTATTAGCCAGTTGACCCCACTGTTCTCCAAAATCTTACCATAATTGTCAACAGCAGTACATCAGCTATTTTTACTGATGGTTTGTCGCCGTACAACCATAATGACCTAGGAAACGAAGGGGGAGAAGGGGGAGTTACCTGAAAACCTCAATGTTCTAAACAAACATTTAAAGTTAAGGCACCTGCATCATTGTGACAACATACCGTCACAAGAAGCTAGTTAGCGTGCAAAAACAAGGCCGCATCGACGACAGTTTCCTCAGAGTCTTCACCGTCCCGCGTCATAAGCAGCAACTAGCTCGCAGATAACTCAGTGCCGAACACAATTTATACAGGTAGTTCAACTATGAGACGATAGCAGAGACGCTACTGGCGCCGACTGTGGGCCATGTCCAGTAACGGTTCGAGCCCAGCACAAGGCAGGTCATTTGGACGTCAGCCAAGAAGGTGAGATGGACCGACACCAAGTTTTATAATCAGTGCCTTCATCTCCTGGTGGTCCCATCGTGCGTCGAAGATGGAAATGGCTGCTGCCCTTGGTAAACATCGTAAGTTATTTCGATGCAACGGCTGTTCAGCCAAAGCCGAGCTATAGGCAACCTGGCGCGTCCCCAGATTTAGGAATGGGAGATGCCCCCTTTGCGGAGGTAAGATTGGCGGCATCCGGTTCCGGATTTGCCTGTCCCTGTGGCCTCCACGGGGACATCCACAGGACGCCTGAGCCTACAGAGGAACCTTGGGTGGCTTGCGCTGCACCACCCACAGCTCCAACCACACACCCTATATCCAGTGTAAACCCGAAGCAATAAGACCGGGAGGCATGTGGATGGGAGCCACATTTCAGCAACGGAGCCGGCCCACACTCCTTCACAAGCAAAACACAAGCACGCTGTATTTGGGGAATCATGCGCACACAAAGCGGTGGCTGGACCGTGGACCGCTCCACACTGAGTGCATGGAACCACACTTCGAGCCTAGTATGGCCACGAGGACCGTGAACCCCTTTCCTTTCAGCAACGACCAACTGTCTTCTAGAGCCAGTATGGACGAGGTAGTGGGAAACACACAGGTGGGCATCATGTCAACATGGCGGGTTTGGCGTTGGGCTACAATGAGTCCGTTTTAAGGAACAAGGAGTCACCTCATTCCAGCCCCCAACCTGGAGGACCAGGAGTCTGAGTTTGTCTGGCCTCTAACCATTGACCAATCTGGTACGAGTGGCTCGGAAGGTGCAAAAGCACCACGCAGCGTAGGTCAATGGATCGCTGAGGCACACAAACCATCGCACCACGGTAAGGTCCGGGCTCATTTCACGCACCAGTCTCCGATGGCTCGGCCACGTGTTACGCATGCCAGCCCACCGACTCCCGCGACGTGCATTGTTTGAGCGCCGAAGGTGTGGATGAAAGAAGAGGAGAAATGGTAAGGCGATGACTTGGTCGCGAGGAATAAAAGCCCGCACTTCGAAGCTGGCCTCAGTTGGGACCTCTTGGCTCTCTGGTTTGGGTCCGAAAGACGATGAACACGTTTGGCTGAATACACTTGTTGATATGGCTAGGAGCAGACCTCAGTGGCGTTCGTGCTGTGAGTTTCTTTGTCCCACCCCATTCTTCTTAGCCTCCACCTCCAAGCACTATCTCATTACTTAGCATTACATAATTTTGCATGGTAAATTACTTTTTTTTCTGCTGCATAGTAGCCGGCAGGTAGCTTACCGGAACGATGCTTATCCGTTACCGGTAGTTCAGCTGGCTTGCACCTGTTGCATTTTATCCCTTTCTCTTTTATATATTGCGGCACAGTAGCTGAGGTGTTTCCCACCTCTAGCTAACGTGTATAGTGTGTGTGTGTGTGTGTGCGTGTGTGTGTGTGCATCAGTTCCAGAGACTGTGGAGACGCAATGTCCAGTTTGGCAATTCAAGTTACCACATGAAAACATTCCTGCTGATAGTGACCTTTGGCGAACATGCAACCAGTGATCTTCGACGGTGTTCGGTGGGCGCTTACTCAGCCCGGATGCCAGCGTACTTTGATACACATTCAGGACACCTGGCTTCCGCAGTTAACTGATGTCAATGCGCTCAGCGCGACGTTGCGGACGTCTGCCGAAAGGCAACCGGAGGTCGGCGCAAACCATTGTGTGGTTAGAGTTCACGTTCGTGCTCCAAATCGAGCGACAGTTTTGGAAACAGCCTCTCCAGAGGTAAATACTCGCGATGTGATCGATTTGCGTCCATAACTGGTATGAGACTGGTGGACGCTAAGTCACTTTTCTGCGGTGCTATGTCGAAAGTTAGTGCTCGCGAAAAGGAGACGAGCATCTTTACACAGGTGTAGCAAATGCTCACCGTTATCATTACGGGAACCAAAACCATGTTGGCCGCCTAGAGTATATATACTCATCTCAATGCGAAGCATGTGTGATTTGCAGTTTCCTCCGCAACATGCTCACCGTTTGATTGACGTAGAGCACGACCGCAACGCAATGTCTCTGACGGTGTGAAGGCAGCTCCGGGTGCTCAATGGTTTGCCACTGTCCGCCTCAAGCCAGACAGCTCCTGTTCGAATTGGTGCAAACCCGCCAAAACACCTGCGTCTGGCCGTGGACGCAGTTTCTTATCTTACTGCAGCCGCAAAACACAAATGAATTGTTCCAGAACTTCAAAAGTTGCATGTGACGAACCTCAAGTAGTTCCCAATCTGTCTACAATCACATCCCCGAGCTGGATCTGCTCCCCACTGCCTTGTGGGTCAGGCTATTGAGCCAAGGGCTAAGGGCGGAGTCCCTCAAGTAAATCTCCGACGCATAACCGCCCTCCATACGTGCGATTGCCCGTCAATGTAATCGTATGCCTGCGCAAAGCAATCAGCATCGGGTGCTTTAACATGCGCACACTACTGGACCGGAATTCGAGGGAGCGCTCCGAGAGATACACTGCACTGGTCGCGATGGAATTGGCGCGGTAAAACATCGAAATTGCGGCGCTCAGTGAGATCCGACTTGCTGATCAAGGTAAGTTGCATGAAGCAGGTGCTGGCTACATTTTACTGGGTGGGCAACTCCACCTCAGCACTACTTGAACATGGGTTCGGATTTGCACTATCCGATCGCCTAAATGGCCAGCTGGTGGGTGAACCAACAGCCATCAGCGTACGATTGATGACTGCTAGCCTGCGACTCGGAAGAGATAAGTTTGCCACCTTTATTAACACGTACGGTCTGACCATGTGTTATCCTGATGA